TTTTTTTTTTTTTATAAGTAGAGAGATTAAAAAGAGATTTTTTCTTGAAGTAGAGAGATCAAAACCCTTTTTAATGTAATTTTGTCATATTGCCATTTTACCGAGTGACTAGAAAGCAGATCATTGATCTTTCGTGTGACTACAATTTTTCTTCCCTTTCACGATGTTTTTTTAAGCGCATGTCATGATAAATGCATTCCTCTCGCTTTCCACACTCATATAGCTTTGCTTTCTCATATTTTTTTCTTTGTAAATAAATTTCTAAACATGATAAGATTAATAATTCCCAATTGTTTTTCCTGAATCCTAACTGTAAGAAAATCCAGGAAAAAGAAAAGAAATGACAGGGCAAAATTAACTTAGAAGATGCAGCTCTTTCAGCCCAATCAAGATATGCAAGGCTGACATGGATGTGTAGAGATTCTACAGGTCAATTGGTTGATGATGGGAATCTAAAGCGAAGAGCCTCCACTATCCTTGAACTTATTTTTCTTACGAATTGACTTGAAAAGCAGATATTTATTTGTTTCATTTTGTTTTTTCTTTGCAATGGCAACTATTTAAACCAAATAGTCGTACCATTGCAATTTTTCATAGATCTTATGACCATTTCTACAAAAAGAAAGTCTTATTTCTTAAATTTGTCCACTTCTATCTCAAATTTTGAATTTGAACTTCTTCTAACTTAAGTATTAAGTTCTTAGAAGTTAGAACACTATACTTGAAGGGCAGTAAAGTTTAAGCATAAATGTGGATCTCTTGACAAAGTCATTCTTTCTCCTTAATATTTACAAGAACCAGTCTTGGGTTTGGAGTAGTTTGTTTAGTTATTGGTGCATGGTGGTTGTACAAAATGTTAAAGAAGAGAAGGAAACTGAAGCTTCAGAGGCAATTCTTCAAACAAAATGGAAGCTTATTATTGCAGCAACAAATGTTTTCAACTAAAGGTAATGTTGAAAAGACCAAAATATTCAGTATCAAAGAGTTGGAAAGGGCAACTGATAATTTCAACAACAATAGAATCCTTGGTCAAGGCAGCCAAGGCATTGTTTATAAAGGAATGTTGGTTGATGGAAGCATTGTTGCAGTTAAAAAGTCCAAAGTACTAGATAAAGAGAAAGTTAAAGAGTTCATCAATGAGGTGGTCTTTCTTACATAGATTAACCATAGAAACATTGTTAAGTTATTAGGGTGTTCTTTGGAAATTGAAGTCCCTTTGCTAGTTTATGAATTCATCCTGAATGGGACGCTTTTTCAATACATACACGATGAGAATGAGGACTTCCTATTAACTTGGGAAAGACGATTAACAATTGCTGTAGAAGTTGCAGCTACCCTTCCCTACTTGTACTTGGCAGCCTCCATTCTCATTTATCACCGAGATGTCAAGTCCCCAAATATTCTACTGGATGAAAAGTATAGGGCAAAAGTTTTAGATTTTGGGGCATCAAGATCAATTGCCATTGATCAAACTCATTTGACCACAAATGTTTAGGGCACATTGGGTTACCTAGACCCTAAATATTACCAGTCAAGTCAATTTACAAAAACGAGTGATGTTTATAGCTTTGGAGTTGTCCTTGTTGAGCTCTTAACTAGAGAAAAACCAATTTCTTTAGCAAGAGCAGAGGAAGGAAGAAGTTTGGCCTCTCATTTCATTCTTTCCATGGAAGAGAACAATCTCTTTAACATTCTTGATGCTTGAGTTAGGGATAGTTTTGCACATGAAGGAATGAAAAGGGTTGCTAACCTTGCATATAGATGCTTGAGCTTAAGTGGTAAAAAGTGGCCAAGAATGATAGAAGTTGCCATGGAGTTGGAGCAGATTCGTCTTTTGCAAAACAATTCAAATGGTCAAAAAAATCATGAAGAGCTTAGGTATGCCAAGTCTAAAGTAACCAATCACTGCGGCATTGCTTCAGGAGCTTCTTTGTCATTACACATAGAGCCACCACTTTCAAGTGAATCATGGGAATTGCTAGGAAAGCAAGTAAGCTCAATAACCATATGATATTAGTAGAGATAGGCTCCATTTAGTATGATTGTAGTTTTTAGTTTTGGTTTTTATAAATTTTGTAACTTTAAATAAAAAACTTTTTAGCTAGTTTCATGTTTGTATATATGTCAAAATATTATTATGATCGATTAGTAAAGAAATAAAAGCAAAAATAGTTTTAAGATTACTAAATAAGCTTTATAGTTTTAATTCTTAGTGTTGAAATTTGTTTTAAACAAATTATCATTTTTTTTTGTTTTAGTTTTGGTTTTTAATAGTTACAAAATTTACAAAAACTAAAATAAAAATTTTAAAAAACACAATCGTATATAAATAAAATCTAAGAAATTTACAAAAACAAGGGATCAATTTTATTCAAATTGATTGATTGATTTAATTATATTAATAAATTTTAGATTTTATGAAAAAAAAAGAAGAAAAATCTTATATTTAATATTAGGTTGGTAGGGTAGATTGTTTATGGGAAAAAGCTACGTGCACATAGTTTTATTCATAATTTGATGTGACATATAAAATAGGATATAGAAAATTAAGATGGTTTAATATTAAAAATGTTAATTAGGATATTTAATCAAAATCACATGATAAGTAAGATATAATTTAAGCCCTACTTAAGTCATGGTTGGAATTAGATTTCTTGATATTTTTAATGCATGGCATCTTAATTTTCATTTTTTGCATATATAATTGGTTCTTTTTATTATAAAATATATTTATAATATTTTGTGTATCTATTCATCGAATAATTTAGGGATAACTTTCTATATATTCTTTTATACTCATTTATTGATCAATTCTTTTTATTCAACCAAGATGCTTGATATTATATGAATTCACTTATCATCATTATATGTGAGTTTGCTTAGGTTGCTTCCAGTACTTTCTAGTGCTTTTGGATCATCAAAAGAAAAAGAAAGAGAAAA